TTTCTTTAAGGTAACTTAAAGTTTTTAAATCCCAGGCTCTGAAGATGATCTCAATAAAGATCGAAACATGTATTTCTTAGTGGCCTGTTATCTCATAATTTGTCGGAAAAACACCTTCCTAATTTTCTCCCCCGGCGTTTCGACCTTTATTCGGGTCATCTTCAGGGCATAAAGTGAGGTGCTGTTCTTGTGGTGTCATATTAGTGTGGGCAAATGTTGTGGTAACACCAATATGACACCATAAGAATAGCATCACACTCTATGCCTTGAAGATGACCAGAATAAAGGTCGAAACGTCGGCAAAATATGAAAAAGCTGTTTTTCTAAACTATCCCATCCTTGACAGTTCCTCACGACTTCAACAAATTAAAGATCGAAACGGCACGATAACGAAAGTATTTTTCTAAACCTACATCACACTAAACCGCATCTCTTTAAATAATCACTAATTAACGGTCACTATTACATATTGACCACAAAACGGATAATACGTATAACACCAATAACGGATAATACCAACGGCACCGAAATGAACGAAATAAGGTAAAGTTCATGAAGTCTATCCCACGGAAACTGCGAAAAGCAGCTGAAAGCATTGCTCCATCGAGATAAATTCATTGATGATAACATTTCAAGTACTTATTTACTTGACTTCTGTTTGACCTATAAGGGGTCGGAACGAAGTGAGTGTCACAGGGAGCCCATGGATTGGAACGACTTCTAAAACTTCCTAGAACTAGATCGCCTTAAATTCACCCCTTGCTGGTACCCTAGCAGATGCTTTGCATTCGAGCAACTTAACTTTTAAATGGGGTCACAGTTAAGTGTGTGTTTTCTCGGATGACAATTACTGGCATTTCCTTACCACTTTTTGAATTTTACCCTAAATGACTGTAGCAATTTTTTTTAACCTTAGCTTTCGATGTTAGTCAACTGCCATTTTGTCCACATATCCTTTAACCCCAACCTCACGACACCAGGTCCGGCGTGACGAGGCAGAAATATACTTTGATTGTAAACAGTCTTTTCCCGATCTCAAAGTGTAGCAATTTGTTCACCTGTTTTGGTAAGGTTTCTTTAACCATGAGTTTAATATGTCTCGCACCTCTTGAGTTCATTTACTTTTTTTTTGCCTTTTTTGATTCAGAGATGGAAGTCTACGTTTGATCTGGTTACCCAATTGTAGGTTCTAAGTATATAAATGATCTTACAGATCATCCACTGGCCAGTTTGCTTGGTCATTACCTAGAATTCCTTTGTGCCCAGCCAACCAAAATATTCTCAAGGTGTTTGTTACTCCATTTTTTGAAAATTATGAATTTGTATTAAAGATTTTATTATGTTTTTTAAAACAAGTACACTTTGGACCATCTATCACCAGAACTTGTTTTTACACTAGAACATCTTGTCATATAGCTGTGATTTTTAAAATATTAAAATATAATATTTCTTAAATTAGGACATAATTAAGATAAGTTTCACAACAAAATATACAATTGTGTATGAAAGAAATTTGAAAAAGATTTACGGGTATTTTTTAAATTGTTATTTCTATTAAAATTGCCGTTTTTATTATATTGAATTGCTTTCCTTTAGAAAAGAAAGTTGGGAAATATCCAAGGGCCACAGCTACGTAAACATCCCGTACTCTCTTTTTCCCACCCCATTTCAGGGTTTGAACTTTTCGAGAGGCTTTTGAAATTATTTAAATTCGACATGAAGAGTGGTTATTTCCACTTTTGTACTCCGTTCTGTTTTTTAGACCTGCTAACATTTCAGGAAATTCTAGGTGAAAAGGCGTTTTTCAAGGAGGATTATTTATTTCTAATTAACCAAGTCCGTTTTTAACTTAACAAATTTTCTTCTATCTTAAATTTAAATTAGCTTTGATAACAAACTACCAGCGTTTCCCAGTCAAATAAGCTTTGGCTCGTTTAAATATAGTCGCTGTTTAAATCGACACTTTAAAAATACTTTAATGTAAACTGTTGTCAAGCTTCATTAGTCAAAGTGAAAACATTTTTAATCAATTATAAAATCCAATTATCAAAACATTTTTAAAGTTTGAGAACCTCGAAAATATTGAAAATTTATTGTCTTTCAACTCTTTTGGTCTTTTTCCTCAGCTCAGACTGCTTAGAGCTAAGAGACGATAAAGTAAAAGAGAATTACAAGAACACTGTCAGGAATATGTCAGGGATGATGAAGCTGTGGCCTGAAAGTGCATAGCCCGGGATAAGATGTTAGCTTTAATGTTTTCAACATTATTCTCAGATTCCTCCCTCCAAAATCAGACACTCCTTTAAAAGTAGAATATACCTGGCTCGATTGCAGATGTACTAAATCCGGTGTACTTATCACGGCCCAGATACTCCTAGAACTCCATAAGAAAGGCATCATACTTCTCACCTTTACTGCAGTATATTCTGCACCGCCCGCTTCTCATTTCCATAACCCGCCCATAATGCTTCTTCCTAGCGTCCAGTCACTCCACCTCTTCTCAAAACTAATCGAGAAGGTCCTCAAACGAATAATCCCGACATTCAACGCATCCAATCTTCTCCCAGAAAATCAGTTCAATTTCTTACCTGAACAGTCCCCTTCTAAGCAAGTGATTCGCGTTGTGCATCGTATATCCTCATCCCTCGAGCGCAAAGGATACTGTCTGTGGGCCTTTATTGACATTCGAGCGTTTGAGCTGCACAAACTAAAGCGCATCCTTTCAAATACCCTGTGCTCCTCTAAGAGAACGTTTCTTCACAGTTCGCTAAGGATCGGCCTACTCCGACAGTCTTTCCCGTATACTGCGTCGTCCTAAAAAGGACAATGAGGATCTTTAGCGTCCGCACCTACCCTATTCGGCCTTATCGGACGTTTTGATTCTCAAGATGAGAGCTGACGCACCGCCACATACGACAGAATGGTGTTACTGCCGCAACAGTGGTGTAGAGGCAGCCCTGCCCCGAAGGCCCAGGACAACCTCGCTCCCCGCTTGTCCATTCCGAGTGGTCGGGTCTGCATTAAGCGTCAGACCGTATGCCGCGCGCAAAGGGCTATCTAAGCCCAAATACATCAGTCCGATCTCCCGCGCACTTCCTAGATAGATAAGTCCACTCTATCTCCCAGAGTATTGGAGCTTCTTTAGCGTAGAAACTACCGGATCCGCTCCGGCCGCGGTTTTGTTTTAAAGTGAAATTGCTAACCACCCCCTAGGAGAGTACCGCCTACGGTAAAACCTCCAATCGAGCTCAGCATACACTGACGTGCAAAGCATACTCGAGTAGCTGCAACCGATTCACTACCCGTTCACATCCGCCAGGTCCTCTCCGACAATGGTCGGTACCTCAGGCAGCTTACTTGGACCGATCTCCTTTTCACCGCAGATATCGCAACTTCAATTTATACTCTCATTTGTGGCAAATAGCCAAATTGAGCAAACACTGGTGTACAAAGCTTAATATCAGCAAAAGCACCCATGCATTCACCCTTCGAAGCAAAACGGCCTCATACAATATTCTTCTATAATATTCCCTTCCCAAAAACAAGCTACTTCCGCTGGCTTGGGTTCCATTTAGAATCAAGAACACCTGGAACAAACACAAAACTAAAACGACACGGTTTGGAAATAGTAATCTAGAATCATCGTAGTAAGTTTTTCAAAGTTCTGCCTAAACGCTAATTTCACCAACATTTACAAGTTTAGTATTGATCACATTTCATTGGAAATTTAACGTCGTTCTCAATGATATCAACGGATTTGTCCAAAACCTTTTCGTTTTGGTGTTATCATTGTTTATTGATCGGCAAGGTCGTGAAATCTTAAAAAATTATAAAAATAACCCCGAAACTGCTAAGATTCGTACCATAGTTAATTAGTACTTTTTGGTTCCATTTTGAACGTTCAATCTAGTTGCAAAGTCTGTAACTCGAGTCGGCGAACACCCTGTTTAGAATATATAAATATTTACATTCTTATGAACCCATTGGCACAATAAGATTTACATTTCACTATGCACTAATTTTTAACTGAACTAGTTTATATGGCTTTGTTTTTTTTAACCTGCTGACATTTGCGGGCGTCGGTGGCCGCAACGGTTTAGGCGGTGACTCGGCGCAAGGTGAAGGTCCCGGGTTCGATTCCAGCGCCCTGCCTTCACGGCATATTACAAATGAGCGATTTTTCAGAAACATCGGCACCCCGACGATTCATATAACCTCGTAGTTTAAATACCCTCGTAAAACAAATCTTTTGACCTAAAAACCTATATATATATTTTAATTTGGTTCTTAGTTAACTTTAAGTACGAGTATATGAGCTTTCATGAAACATCCGACGTTTAAAGTACCAGAAAATTAAATAAATGCAATAAAAAACGCAATTTCATGTTAAAAAGAGCCAGGAGCAACTAAAATCAAAAATTGCTGGCACTCACAAAAATTACATAACAATCTGGACTGAAACTTTGTGTCAATTGAAACTAAAAAGCTTGTTTAAAAAACTCACAAATCATACTTACAAACTGACAAGGACGCTATATTTTATTTTAATGCATACGACCTCGGGCTCGGAACCTCGATGCTTATACCGCTTGAGTTGTCGTGCTATCTCAGACGATAGAAGTCGTTGGTTCGAGGCCCGCTGGTGACACTGATTTTTCAACACAAACATACTTTGACCATAATAATTTAAATAATTCCTTTGGTTAATTAGACTAACAAAAAAAAAGTAATATGCTATATTTTATTGTGAAATTTCTCTAAATGGTGAGCCTGTATTTTGGTCGTTAATGGTCATCCTGGGCTACCTACCGTCGGACCGTGTATCCGTCAGATGTATTACAGCAATTCGCCATCTTCCGTACAGACCAAATAGTGAAGATATAATTATTAATTGTTTACCTTTATTTATATTTTATGGATGGAATAATAAAGCATTTGCAAACATTAAAATGTTTTTTAATGCCAAATTGTTTGTATTTACGATTTTTCTTTTGTTTCAGTACGAATTCAAAGCGAAGGGGATTAAAAAAAAGAAAGTCGCAATAGAAATCTCGGTCGAAGGGGTCAGAGTAACACTGCGGAAAAAGAAAAAGGTAAGCCCAAAAGTAAAATTCGAATAGGTAAACGCCTGGCATATTAAGATACGGCTCGACAATGGGTCGTAGCAACTGCCTGTCGGATATTGATAAAAATTCGTATTTCCATTTGGATCAGCGGCCAATTTACTCGGAATATTTTCCGCTTTTTGTTTATTATTTTACTAGGCGGTGTATCTCATCGTTCGGGGTTAAGCCGGGACAGAAACCATGAAATATTCAAGCTGCTTACCGCCGGCGTTGATATGTTTCGGCATGGGTGGAATAAGTAAGTCTCGGCCCTGAAAAAGCAAAAAAAACCGTATAGGTTTTCTTCTATCCAATGGTATCGTACTTTTCGGGAAAAATAAAAAGTAAAAGAGAACTGGTGCAGAATGAAGTTGGGACTGCATTGTTAACAGTAGACATTTAAAAAAATATTTTTGTTTTAAATCTTACTATTATTGTTTTTGAATGTGTATAAAACCAGAGAAGGAAGGGGAATTTCTGAAAGTTGCACCCAGAAAATGAATACGACAGGAGGGCTAATTGTCAATTTAACAGGCTCACTGACGAACCCTCCCTGAGCTTAGGGTCTGGGTGTAAAAATTAATTTGCAGTTGAAAAACCCTTGGGTCTCTAATGAAATGCAAATGGAAAATGTTGGAGCTGGGATTACCGCTGTAACTTTGACTTGACAAATAATCTCCCAGACGGCAGTTTTCGTTTACTTTGCTAGTTGTGATTTGTGGCAAAACGGGGCTTCAACTTTCTTTAATACCCTTGTCCGTATAAAATCACGTTAAACCCTGATTAAAAATTAATAATATATATATATATTAGAAAATTTAGTTTTAACATTCGGAACAATTGAAATTCATCTTCACCATACTAACATTTTAAGTTTTTACTAACATTTAACAAACATTTAAAATTATATCACAAAAACTAATGTTTAGGAGTTGAAACTGTTTCAAATATAGGTATAAAGTAGTAGCAAAAGTTCCTCCTATTCCAACTGTCACTTGATGCTCGAGTTTCCAAGATATAACTTTTCAAGAAGTTATAATCATTTATTACGTGTGTGTATATTTGTGTGGTTTTAGTGACCGTTAGTCAATTATTCGGAGATCATGAGTCGCTGACTGGTGTGACGTAGGTTTTAGAAAAACATTTTATTTATCGTGTCAACGTTTCGACCTTCATTGATTTCATCTTCAGGGCCTGGGGATTTATAACCATTGTTTAAATTTTACAAATGCATGTAGGATATGAAAAAATGAATTTATACAACGCTAGAAATTTTAGAAAACAAATTAAATAAATAAAATGAATTTATACAATGCTAGAAAATTTTAGATTAAAAAAAATGAATTTATACAATGCTAGAAATTTTAGATTTAAAAAAAATCAATAAAATAAATTTATACAACGCTAGAAAATTTCAGATTTAAAAGAATGAATTTATACAATGCTAGAAATTTTATATTAAAAAAAAATTAAATCAATAAAATGAATTTACACAACGCTAGAAATTTTAGAAAACAAATTAAATAAATAAAATGAATTTATACAATGCTTGAAAATTTTAGATTAAAAAAATCAATAAAATGAATTTATACAACGCTAGAAAATTTCAGATTTAAAAGAATGAATTTTGAATGAAAAGAATGAATGAATGACAGAGAGAGAGAGAGAGAGAGAGAGAGAGAGAGAGAGAAAGTGATAGTAAAAGTGACAATCGACATAATTAATAAAACAGCAGACGGAAAAAAGTAGGTATGTTGCTTTGAGAATGTAATAGATAGACAGATACATTGATGGACAGATAGTACGAAGACAGGCACGGAGGGTGTGTGTGTTTGTGTGTGAGAGAGAGAGAGAGAGAGAGAGAGAGAGAGAGAGAGAGAGAGAGAGAGAGACAGACAGACCGACAGACAGAGGCAGAGAGAAAGTGAAAGAGAAAGAGAGAATATTGACAACTCGTAGACATGGATATACAAACAAACACACATTGAGACTGTGGTAAGGTACGAGATAAAAGGATAGCCCAGCAAAATCTTTCTTTGTGAAAAAAAATTAACTGTAGATAACATATTTTGTTAAAATCATAGCTTATTTTGCTATAGTTTGAACATATTATATCCATTAGGTGTTTAATTTTTGAGAATCAATAATAATGATACTTAATTCGGGGTGGGACAAGAAGATAGCACCGTTAATAATAATAATAATAAATAATAATAATAATAATCATCTCAACCAAGAGTTCCATAAAAATAATAATTAATTGAAAGAAGTAATTTGGTCAAGTGGACCACTAAATATAATGGAATAATTTTTTTTCTTAAAACACATTAAAAATAATACAATACGTTTGGAAAGCGAATCAAAATGGCGGCGAATCAATTCTTGAGGGAATTTGGCCCACTCCTCCTGAATTGCTTTTTTTAAATCATCAACGTCTTGGAGCTGTCGGCTACCCTGTAAACATTCCTGGCAAAGAGTCCCAGGCATTTTTAATTATATTAAAGTCTAGGAATCTCACGGGCCAATATAAAATTTGAATATTTTGTTTCCTTAAAAAGAAACTTTTGCCGTGTGTAAATCTTGCTGGAAAATGACGTTTTCCTTGGGAATCATTTCAAAGTACTTTTTAAATTGATTTTATTTTGAAATTGTGAAATAATCTCGACTAAAGTTTAAGCAATGTTTATAAATCCCAGGCCCTGAAGATGATCTCAATAAAGGTCGAAACGTTGGCACGATAAGGAAAATGTATTTCTAAAACCTACCTCACGGCAGACCGCATCTCACGATCTCCGAATAATAATCTTGAATGATCATTCGGCCAGAAATAAAGACTATGTCAGTTTTGTGATTGTGGTCAATGCTTTTATCTGTCCAAACTGGTCGTGTGTAGAGTTACTTGGTTGGATGATCAAAACAGTTTGCCCAATTCATGGATTAAGGAATTCTCTATTAAGTGTTGTACAGGGGTTTCACGTCAGCCTGCTTCCTAAGTATCTGACTTGATTGAAAATCAGTAGCTCGTGGTTGTTCGTGTACAGTGGAGGACAAGACCATTTATCCATGTAAATGTATACTGACATTTTTCCTCCTAAATTCTTCTGCTCAATGTTTTGCACCTTATGGATGTTGGACGTATTACTAGAGTTAGGATATGTAGAAAAATCGGTGCTGGAAAAACAAGAGTGGACTTAGGTTGCTGCCTTGTCCGACGCCAGCTTGTCTGACATCAGGGTACTTGTTGCCACGCCTCACTCTTAAGCAGTATTCAGTTAGATGGAATTGCAAGATAAGGTGATAAGGTGTGAGTAGGAAGCGTTTAAGACTATAGAGAATGCCTGATCGATTTTTCAAATTTTTCTGATGATTCGTCGTAGTTGATGGTGAATCTCTATATATCGCAAAATAGTTACATATTGCTAACTTATATATTGCATGTGTAATAAGTTTTTTTTTTAAATTATTGAACTATATCAGATTAATAGATTTTTATTCAGATATCGTGAGATGCGGTCGGGTGTGATGTAGGTTTCAGAAAAACATTTTCTTTATCGTGCCAATGTTTCGATCTTTTATTGAGATCATCTTCAGGGCCTGGGATTTACAAACAATGTTTACATTTAACAATTACATTTAGGATGTGGAAAAGTGAATTTATCCAATGCAAAATATATTTTGTATTCAAACAAAGTATTTCTACTCACTCAAAATGTTTGTCTTCTGTGTAATTGTGCCATCCTTGCGTGTCGTGTTGAGAGTGCACTAATCTCTACACATTAATAGATTTTTTAAATAGTAGTCTACCTATAAAAATTAAAGAAAGAGGCTTTCCCTCGGGTTTAGTTTTACAATAAATTGAATAAAAACACAAAATTACTATTAAAACTCTTTAAATATTAACGAACTCCTTCAAAGTTTCGACTTACAGGAAATTTTTGCCAAGCAAAGGAAACGCGAAAACAAGTTCTTGTTATTACATTAAACATCGCGAATGTTGAGTTCAAAGTTGCGTCCCTGACATGTTCCGGGATGTTAACATTTACTTTAACTCTAATCATGTTGACCATATAAGCATACAGATTTAAAACATCCTTCAGAGTTTATTATTAAATATTTGGAAATGTTTTTGTGCGATGTTTAAGGCTCAGAAATAATAAACTCTTTTGCTATAATCCATTGATCAATAAACTTAAACAAATATATTAGTTTTTGCACCTGTTTTATTTATTTATTTTTAAGTCAGAGAATTGTCACCTGATACTATTTCACTCACGTATTTTGTGGTAGAATGCCAATAAATAAATATTAGCCTAACATGCGAACGTGCAGATCACCTGAGGCTATTGATCATTAAAACTTTTTTATATTTGTGCACTTGCTATACTGATAATTTAAAAAAATATTTATCTTCAACGCATTGGAGGTAGATATTACAAAATACGATGTTTTAGATGATGTATTTAATATTTTATTATGTACGTACGTGAAACATAACACAATAAATATAAGAAGAAAACTTAAACGTCACTGTTTTATATCATTGTTTCACGATTATCTACTGTATTTGTTAGTCAAATTAATATATAAATGACCAGTTTTATGTAATACTTTGAGTTTATCACGTTTCATTGTCTGAAAAAAGTAATATAAATTTTCTCTCAGACGTGACTTTACTTAAAATCCCAAAAAGCCTCTACGTTTGGCTCCTTAGGACCTGAAAGCACTCAGTTGCCTTATTTTTCTTTCTCGTCCCGTTTCCCCTTTCTCGGAACGCAATTTAGTGCTTCTAACTATAATGCATTAGAAGCAAGGGGAAGATTAATAGTCGGGCATTTATTACAGATTTGAACGTAGCTGTTTTCCTCGCATTGCCCTTGTCTGTTTTATTTAGAAGTATTACACCGTACGCTGCGGTGGTTTTTCAAGTGTTTAATGTCCAATTCAAGACTGTCTACAGTTCAGTGTTTATTTTTATTTTATTTCGGTAT